GACCCTGGGAACAGTAAGTTAGAAAACAGGGCAGAAGCTCCTAGGGCTGAGACAAAATAGCCCAAGAGCAGACACTGGGAACAATTACTAGACAATAGAAAGAGAAAGAAAAATTATTTTTAAAAAACAGAAGATGAAACGCCAGAGGCATCTCAAAGTGGGTATTTTTAGTTCAGATAAACAGGTCCACTCTCTTCAGTAAGCAAGTGGTGGTAGTTTTACATCACAGGCCAAAACAGCTCTTACAACTGAGACATTTTGAAAGGTTACAACAAAAAGGGTTAACTTTTTTTTATCTAGACAATCATCCCTAAGAAGGCTGTTAGAGACTTCCAAATGACTGAGGCATAGTTTAAAAGAAAGGAGGAAGGAATACTATGTAGCTTAAGGCCTTTTGAGGAAGGGGAGAGGGGGGCTCACTTAAATGATATTTACCAACCCCCTCCCTATCCTTTCCCCATCTTCTACCAGCAAACTCTGAAAATATATGCCTACCAGAGAATGCACTAATATTTACATCATTTTTACAATATACTTTTCTACTATAACATATAGTTCCATCTTACCTTCTTGCATATTGTTGGTCCATCCACACTTGTGCTCAGAATGACCACTAATTTACAATCATCAGAAAAGTGACTTCAATTCCAGGTACTACAGTGTGGCTTGTTGAAAGTCAAACCCAAAACACTGACTAGGAGTGTCTCTCAATGAACAAAGAAATCCTATTCTGTTGCCAAAGGGGATAAAAAGACGAGCCTAACCCTGGTAACCTTAACACAAAAGGAAGCTAAAAAGGCAGGGACTCGATAGGAACAAAGGATTGTTCTTTCTGATGACATCAATACGTATTAAACACGATGTGCTACACATCCTTCTATCAATATCTGAGATGATAAATTTGCAAATTAATACTGTATTGGCCATAACTGCATAAAATTACCATAGCACCCTCTTTAGAAGAGATTTTGATTTATTTAATGGTAGTAACTTTTATGTGTTTAATGTTTCTGAAATTAAAGGAGTTGGTGAGCCACTGTCAGCAAGCAGAATACAATGTACGAGAAATAATTACGCTTGCGACCTCATGCCCCGTAAGGTCACTCTGCATCACAGGCCAAAGGAAATCAGGAACCATCAGCGTTTACCTCAAGGAGTCACTGCCTGGAATGAAGGGCAAGTGTGGGTATATTTCACCAAATAGCAGGTGCCTGACCTCATAAAAAAGTCAATTATCAAAATGCTACACGTGGAATGTCACATATAAGAAATACATAATATTGGATTATGCAAAATATCTTCACTTCAAAATAAATCTGAGACAACTTAGAACATTTTATCTTCATCCGGATTATAATACAACAGCATAAAATAGCATTAATTCTTCCTTATTAAGAATAACCAATAAAATTTTCAAGTGTTTTGTAACACAAGTAATTGCAAATACATGCTAAAGAGTGAAATCTCAGAAAACATTTACAGCATTTATGTCGCTTTACAAGAACGTGTGCACTATTTATCACTCCAGTCCCTTTACTGTGAGAGTAAGAATCACAATGTACTTACCCTCACATTTGCTATCAGGAAGCAGACATTAAAAGCACACAGACTGACTGTATTTGTAAGGGACAGAATGTTTCCTAACAGGTTCAAGGACAGAGCTCCACTACCTGAAACAAAATTCTTATACCACTCAATTAGGACTTGCTTTTAGTAAAAATTTGTGAACTGGCTTTTCAGTTAAGTTGGACTGTTGTTCCTTTTCTTCCCCAGTGATTTCTGGTCTACTGCCAGAGTCCCTGGGGAATATAAATCAAGGTGAATTCTGAGGCAGTGACAACAAGGAGACCAAAACTACAGAATCCAGCACAGGAAAGGAAAGGGGCCAGCCAGCCAACACTCACTACCTGTGTTACATACTGTGCTGGGTGCTGTCCAAAGTTTCTCCAGTGCTCTCAACAGTCATAAGAAAAGCAACTGGCTTCTGGCCCACTGCTTTCCTTACGTTCTCAGACAAACCCACAGAAGGCTTTTAACGCATAATGCACTTAAAATTCCAGAAGACCCGAGACAATATGACCAGCTGACTTGTCATCTACATCCCAGCTCAATCCCTTATTGCCTGTGAAGTCAGAGAAAGTTGCTGGCTGCTTTAAACTTCAGACTTCTCACCTCTACGACGAAGGGCTATCACAGTCTATCAGCCCACTATGACATTCTGCTCTTCAGAAAAAAGCATTTTCCGAGTTTCAAATAACTAGCCAAGGGACTCTTAAATCAAGCTCAGTCATAAGTTAGGAGCTGCCAATATTGCTTAGGCAATTATTGCATATTTTTAAAAGTGCATAGGATGATTAAATTATAAGAAAATATCTGATGAGTGGTGTATTTACCAGATATATTGCTTAATATTTTACCTACTTTGGTGAATAAGAAGATTCCTATGCTAGAATAAGTTTTAGGTTTCTAAAAGATTGCTCCATGCTGCAACTTGCTACAATAACCATCTCCTTAAACATTAATGACAATGGCAAAAGCGTCTTCACTACAAGCATGCTGATGGCAGGTGTGGGCTGTCCACCAGCTGGCTCCATAACCTCTTGATCCCTTCGGACAGCAAATCTGTTCCATGGCCCTGTGTGGTCATTCCTCATTTGCTGGATGCTTTCTTCTCCTTTCACACACTCAGAATCCCTGCTCCTTTAGCTTGACATCCTTTTATTAAAATAGAAAGCTCCCAGTAAAGCAAATTAAAACTAATTTTACACTCAGTCGATGTAAAAGTTCCAGAATAGATTAATATATTATAGCAAAGCTGTTAGAGTGAGATGTTCTAGTTACATGTAGAATGCCTGTTTGTTTATTCTTGTGCTAAAAAATACAATTGCAGTAAGTGATAAGATTAAAATTTTAAGTAAGCCAGCATTCAGTTAAATTATAAAGTACTCCAGGACCCTATAACTAAATACCAAGGACTTTAATTTACATGAATGGAAAGGTTTAACTCTGACCAAGAACCATCTAGTTTATACTTATTTAAACAACAATGAGGACCATTAAGAGTAATTTTTTAGTTATATTTCTGCTCCTTTTTGTTGCTGTTGTTAAATTTAAAATGGCTAAAAATGACACTGTCTAAAAGCAAGATTAGTTAAGCCAAATACCTACTCATTCCTATACCCCAACTCTGTTTAAAATCTAAGGAAGCTGCAGGGAGCAAGCCAGAATAAACAGTGGGTAAGATAATGAGGTCTGTAGTCTGACAGTCACTAAGTAACTGAGGGACCTTCAGGAAGTGCTTTAATCTCTCTTGGCCTCAATTAACTCATTTGGGGGGAAAAAGTGGGGGTGGTAGTGATAATAGTGCCTGCTTAACAGGGTTAGTGCGACCAGTTAGTGAAATAATACAGACCAGGTACATAACAAAAGCCTGACAGAGAAAGTGTTCAATATGGGAGGATGTGCCGTTATTTTACTTGTACTGCCTCCTCTCTGGACTCTCTGGCCGACATCTGGCCCAGCAACATGTACATGTTTATCACTGCTTCGGGGAGTAACCTGTGATCACATAATGCCTTTACATTCTACCCAACGCATTCTCTTGGTTCAAAGATAAAATAAAATGGCATCCACCACCATTGCTACTGGCACCTCTCCTCCCAAACTGCCAAGAACGCAAGGCTGTGCTGATCTTAGGTGTCTTCCTTAGACCGTATTGTTTCTCAGTAAATAGTCTTGACTAAACAGATTAAAAAAATTTTAACTGGAGCTGTTAATTTGTGATGTTTTGGTTATATGTGCAATGTATATATTTGCATTTACAGATTATGAATGTATTTATTTAGCAAATATATAGTGCTTACCATGGCTGATGCACAATTCCATGTGCTTAATAAAGATTAACTCATTCCATCCTCAAATAACCCTATAATGTCTCACTATCTTCATCTGTGACAAGACTGAGGCTAAAAAAGGTTAAGTGTCCAAGGTCACCTACCTAATTAAACCACCACTACAGTCACTGCTGGCAAACATCTGGTCGAATTATACCAGTTATGATAATTGTAATCCTGTTTGAATCTGGTTTTCATTTCCTTCTTATCCAATCATGTATTGTCTTTCTTGATGTGTACAATGAGTATCTCATTAACAAAAATAACTGGTATTGGCAAAAGGTCATTTAATACGAATCCACCTACAACCCAGGCCAAATTCCCAGAGTAAAACGTTTTTGCAAAGTTTCATTGAGACTTTATCTTAAAAAAAGTAAAACTGATTTATTTTATCTTAAACAGATTAAAATTTAAATTCTGAATTCTTTAGGAAAATGAAGAATGAGTCAACTGCCAAACTTGAATGAAGCATACTTTTCCAAAATGAAGAGATGATAGCACAAATACGAATTTTCCTCAGCGCACATTTGACCTAGCAGCATGTTTACAAAGGTTTCATTATGCAAAAAATATTTATAATTTCAACAATTTTCCCCCAGGCCTTTCCCAATCCCTTCAAAGTATACTCATTTGAAAAATCCACCAGTCAAACCCTTGCTAATGTTCTCTTTTTCAACAGTACACTGGTCTAACTCTACAAGATCTTGATTTCTGAAGGATTCAGCTTGGAAAGCATCTGCCTGTGTCTGCACTTGCTTATCAGATCAATACGTAACAAGCTGGCACGATAAGCATAATCATGCAATGGGCAGAAACTGAGGCTAGTGTTAAATAGGGTAGGATTTTGGAGGGGATTAATTTTATAAGGGGTCAGTCTATTAGTGAGCATCTTGGTATATAACTATTGGGGTTTTTTGTTTGTTTCCTAACCAAACTCCAAACCATAGGGATTTCATAAAATGAATGACCAGAATTTGGAAGATCTTTATTTTCACCTGAAGGTGAATGACTCACTTTTGTTGACAGGTAGTAGCAAACATATTTGTGAGTTTTGGTGCTTTCCTATCGAGCATGAAAAGCTTTGTGGATAAGTATGAGAACTCTTACGAGACATGACGTGGTCCATGTACTGCGGTAAATAAGGAGCCCAGGCATCGATGGCTTCCTTCCGTCCCACCTGCTCAATTCTTCTCAGCTCTGCGAGAAGCAGGGCCTGTGCTGCTTCTCTGACCTGAGAAGACCACAGATCCCAATGTGAAAAAAAGCAGATCAGCCAGTGAGGTGTTTAATAACCAGAAAGTTCAGAATGAAAATATATAAACCACATTTATTTACACGGCAAAAACGACTAACCAAGCAATGAATTAAGGACTTAAAATGGAATAAATTGGATGCCCACAAATCAAAGACATTTTAATTACTGTTCTCACCGAAAAATATTTCAACACTAATAGACTGAATTGTGTTTGAACATTTAATCAGCTTTGGGTTTCAATTATCATTTTCCAAAAGCTTTTAAAACATTCTTGCACTTTAATTTTGCATTTTCAATTTTAAAATTTCTACATATATATTGTTAAAAGTCATTAGAACTATTAAATTTGTTTTCTCTTTTAGCATGAAGAAATTTGAACTTATCTAGTGAATTCTTATAATATATATACTAAATAGGTATTGTTTACACAAACATACAAACCTAAGACATGCTTAAACAATTTGTTTTCAACAAATAAGCAAACCTAATTCGTGTAACAGCATAAGCCCTACAGAAGAACACTAGTTTTCAAAACTGTATTACCTACATTTTTCTTCCTTGTCTTTCTTTTATAACAACTGTTGTTTTGCAGTTTTAGTTTAGTTTTGTTTTATTTTGGCAAAAGTGCCACACGCATGGGTTTAAATAAGCTAGTCAACTGTCAAGTGATGTACCAATTAATTAATTATTTATAATTGAAAAGATAACAGCAGCATCTGATATGAGTTTGAACAAAAATTGTTTTTAACTATAATTGACTTTTGAAGTGAATGCAAATATTATTCAATGCAAAACCATGACAATTTTAGTATGCTGCAGTTCCACTTGTAATTGAGAGAAGACAAGGAAAGAAGCAAATATGTTAATTACATTTGGTAAATTAAAAATCTTGAGTGATGCAAACTACTCCAACTCTATAGATTTGAAATGCCATAATAAGGAAAGTCTCCAAGTCCCTGGTGATATTATATGCCAAATAATATCTAATAGAGTGTAGTCCATTAACACAAAATAATAGCTCTCATTTATTGAGCCCCTACGACTTGTCAGACTCTGCACTAACTGTTTTACTTGTGTCACCTTATTTGACCCTGACAGCAATCCCATGAGGAACATATTATTATCCCCACTTTACAAATGAGCTTCCAACAGGTTAAGTAAATTGCTCAGGGTCACAAAGTTAATAATTGGCAGAACTGATATTTAAATCCAGGTCTCTTCTATTCCAAAGACCTTCTCCTTTTATTATAACACAGTACCTTCCACTGGACTATGGCTATTCTTAGAATTTGATTGGTGAGATGATACCTGAGCGTGTGATTGGGAGGACCTGGGTGTAGGCATGTGTGCGTGAATGCATGTGTACAATCTGCATAGAAACCAGTACTTAAGAAACAGTTCCTGCCCGGCCGGGCGTGGCTCAGCAGTTGAGCGTCGACCTAGGATCCAGGAGATCGGGGTTTGATTCCCGGTCAGGGCACATGCCCGGGTTGCGGGCTCGATCAATGACTTTCATCATTGATGTTTCTATCTCTCTCTCTCCCCTCCTGTCCTCTCTCTGAAATCAATAAAGATATATTTGAAAAAAAAAGAAAAGAAACAGTTCCATAAAATATATGAAACTCTTTATCAAATACTCACTGGTTAAAAAAAAAGTAAAGAAACATGTAAGCAGGAACATTACTGTTTATTACATAAACTAAAAAACCATAAATCCATATTTTCTATCACATAATAAATAGGTGATAAGAAATTAAACATTAACCATTTTATTTTAAATTTACACTTGTCCAGTGCTTTTTTAATGTTTTTGTTTTCTATCCATGTCACCTCAATATTACCTCCAAGCATCGATCCTGCCACCTCCGAGCGAGCATCTCTAGAAGCGGAGGCCTAAATTTGTCCAATCCCAGCAGATCTGGCAGCATAACACAATGCATAGCTGCCAGCTGGCTCCATCCTATTAAAACGTAATATATTAAAAATATGTTAAACATTTTGGCATTCTCTAATTCAAAGATTTTTATTTATGTAAGTACACCAGAAACATGAAAAAGGCAGATCTGCTAAATTGTTATAAATTATTTCAATTTATTACTAGCTATTTTTGTACAGAATTTTATATCAAATGTATTTCATCTCTAAACCATGTAACTGGTACTTATAAGAACTCTCAAAGTCTTAAAACAAATAAAAATAAATTTTTGCGTGAAGTATTTAAGAGGTCTACATGGAAAACACATTAAATCCCTCTAAAATAAAACACATATTCAGGGATGAGAAGCATAGAAATAAATAGGCACCATATCCACAGACTTGAAACCACTTTCAGTTAAAGGGGCATTCACACAGACATCCAAAGATAGGTTCCTGTCCATCTTTAGGCCTGGCCCTCTATCTATTACATCATGTCAGTCAACAAAGATGTCCCCTTCTCTGTCAGAGGGCCTTTAATTAAGGTACTTATTGATCCCTCTTCTTAGAAAGTGACTCAGATATTTAATCACAATCAGAGTTGAAATAAGTAACATACACTAATTTTGAGAGGAAAATGCATTCAGACATTCCACAAAATAAAAGGCTCATCATCCAAAATTTACAAAACCTTAGGTTTAATTAACTCTATGGGAATAAATATTGTTTTCCAAAATTCTAATCCACAATACATAACCTGATTATATGAAGAAGAAAGACAACACTGTAAACCACCACAATATTTAAAAGTACTACTATCCAGACATTCTTAAATAATCATGGAAACCCTATTTTAAAGGTGTCCGAAAAATATATATACAATAAATGCCTCATTCTTCCCAAATTATATATAATAATTATATATATATAAATTATATATAATAATTACCATTACCTCCTGGGGTAACATTTAAAAATAAACAATCAAGAATGCAAAAAAAAACCCACTTGTTTACTACCTTATTACAAGGTGAGTTATCTTTAATCATAGAATTTCAGCAAATCAATGTTTTAAAATAATCTAAACTGTAGCATTCTGAAATAATAACAAAAACCCCACCTCAGAATGATTATTGGGATTGTAAAAAAAGAGTGTGAGAGTGAGGGACCAGCTACCTATCTAAAGATTCATCCTGTCAGTAGGGAAATTCTCTTCAACTGAAAATATACAATTATATTAATTAAGGTGATGAGTATGCATTTTTAGATTATAATTTACTTTCAACAGAGGGATATGTATATATACATATATATACACATACACACATAAATATATATATAAATATAAATTACTACCTAATAATTTTTTAAAGTATTTTAATGTCTCATAAAAGTATGGAGTGCATTTATGAGCTAAATTTTAATATGATGATTCTTACCATTCTGCAAAGTCAATAGCTTATTTTTTAATTAAAATATTTCTATATTTCACAATAGCTTAACAAAGATGACCCTAATTATTTTTGCTAAAATCCACTCTTAACATACTAACCTTAGTACAGGTCTCTGACAGGAAAACCAAAGAAAAAAATGCATTAAATTTTTTAGTGCCCAGGTTTTCTTTTCAAAGGAGTAGTATTTCAAACATGGGCTCTGTATGTTACAGATATTGCAACTCTCTTTCTATTTCAATGGACTAGAAATATTGGTTTTTAGTGACGAATCAGCATTATTCTGGGTTACATTTGAGATTTTATAAATTTCCTCCTTTTCACATTATACAAACCGGTGAAGACTGAGCCCACAATGAAGAGAGTGGATATGTTCCATTAAGCTTCCAGGCAGTATAAATAATCCTAGTGGGGTATAAAGGTTTGTGGGTTCCATTCACATTTTCAGAAGTCCAAAAAGACTTCCCACTAGTGTAACTCCACAAGAATAATGATGGCCTAACTACATCTTAAAATTTAAAAAACCAATTTTTGCCTTGGCCAGAAAGAGAAATAGTAAGTAGGATAAAATAGGTGACTTCCTATCTGTCTATAGTCACTGGTGCTAATCATCATTCTGAAGACTTTTCAAATAAGAATGGAAATTAAGGGACCTATCATATCCCCCTCTTACTGGCACACGGTGTGTACAGAGAGCAAAGTGTGTCTCTCATGAGGTAAACAGGTAACGGTATACGTAAAATAAACTGATAGCTCTAACACCAGGGATCACAGGGAAAAACAAACATCATCATGAAAACTAGTGCACCTTTTAACTCACTGCACATCAAAGGTTAGCATCTCTGCACCTCTTTAACAGTATTCTAGATTACAGGAAACGTGGTTTACTCCAGCCAGGAGTAACATTACATTTTTATAATTGGCCCTGATCATTAACATTACCAAATAAAGCTAGAAAGTGGAAACTTTACCTCTCATACATCATCAAGCAGATTAATGTATAAATTAGATAAAAAAGAACACGTCAAATTAGAATAAAGCACAGATTGAAAGAAAGCTGTTAGCAAGTTGAGAGAGAATACCTTCATTTACTAAGAAACAGGAATGGAAAGCAGGAGTAGAGGTGGGGTCAGAGCCAGAGTGATCAGCGTCAGACCGAGCGGAAATGACAGGTGCAGGAACTTGCAGAAGAAAATAGGAGAAATAAAAAAGAGAGAATTGAGGTACAGCAGTTTCTGGAAAAAAGCTCAGTATTAGTGAGGAATGAGAAACAAAGTTGGCAAAATATAGTAAATGCAGAACTGAAAAACGATGTTTTAATCAGACGGATGGTCACTAAGGATTACAGCAGGGGAATGATATATTTTATTGAACAGCAATCACAGTGTAGTTCAAATTCCTCTTAAAATCAAAATACATTTAATATTAGAGTTGAATGATGTATTAACTAATACAAAAACAGTTCTAAAACAACTAAGGCTACAGTGAAAAACGTTAACATATTAAAAATTAGCGAAAATGTAACTCAATTTTAAAAATGTATCACGTAATGAAAAGTTTATGTTGGTCTTCATGTCAATTACATTTCTTCTAATAATTTTCTAATATTACCTATAAATTATTTTTTAATCTCTCAAACCAATATCCACTGAGATCACGTCAATCTTCCACACTCATTTTATAAAAACTCAATTTAAAATAGGCCAATTTATAAAGAATAGATATACTACACCTAACTCTTGTTAGAAGAATCCTAACATAGCTTCATTCTTTGGAGTTCAAGAACTATTTTTTATTATACAAAAGCTTTATATTCTAAGAGTAATTATTGTGAATGTTATAATCCATATAAAATAAATGCACCCCCCCCACACAAAAGTTATGTTACCAGATAAATGTTTCAGCTTAAATTATCATATGAAAAGGCAAAAGGACCGTATGGCACACACATTCTACAACTGGAGGTCAATGTTAAGATTCAGAGGTCACCATTTGGCACTTCCTTCCTATGGAGAAATTACCATATGTCATGCACAAGCATCTTCAAATTAATCCCTCTCCTTTCTTCTGTCACTGCACAGCAATAGGTTTGGGCTCCTGCACAGATTAAGCATTGTCTGCTGAGTGATATGTTTGCTTTTCATGCAGTGAAGTTCTTTTGTAACCACAGGCCAGCTGCAGGAAAACAACTTTTCATAATTCCCACACGAATGCATCATTATGTCAATCAGGCACGTGTGAGGGAAACAGCAGAACTAAAAGAAGTACATGTATAGGAGTACGAAACTGAAAATCCAGCTCCATCAACCTTAAGAAGCATATCTTGCACACAAAAAAGTTTTATCTGGGAGGTTATTTTTTAGTATAACAAACCTGTTTCAGGTCCTTATAAAATTATAATTATTTTATAATGCTATGCTTATAAAAGGAATAGAACTGTTCTTAATTGCATATTTCATAAGATCTAATAATGTTCCAAAGTAATCTTGCAAAGAAATCTCCAAAATTTCTATATTCCATTGAATAATTTTATTTTCCACTTTTTCAATCATTTTTAATTATAAATTCAGTTATTACAGCTTATAAAGTATTCACTTCCTCATGCAAAAAGTTGGTAAGCCTTGGTGGTGAGCAGTGAATTTTCAGGTTTTAGTTTTCATGATCCCAAAATTGTTGAGCAAGTTCCTCTGTGGTTTCCAACAGCTGTGACATTTCTGTAATTTCACTTTTTAAAAAAGGGAGAAATTATTATTATCCCAGAACATATTATTAACTCTATCTAATTTTACCCTTAACTCTGAAAGAACACTAGAATGAGAGGGTGAGGAAATTCAATATAAGTAAATAAAGTTTAGGGCTAAATAATCATTACTTCACCTAGGTCAAATAAGTAGTGGGATTAAACGATCATGTTTTCTCTAAGTCACAAGTCTAAGAGAAACTAGAAATGCTACTGGCAAAACTGCTAGAATAGTATGTCTTAATAAAATAGTGTTCAATACAAGTAACTTATTTTTAATGAGAAATAAACAGATTCTGGGTATTAAATTTTTGGAGTCCTGTTTAAATGACGTTTCATAGAGAAAAAGCTATTTGCACTTTAATAAATTCCGTAGGCACTAAAGATCAAGAAAAAAAAAACTATAATGGAAACCAAGGAATCAGATTTACTATGCTTTAAAAAACTCTACATTACCACCAAAAAATACTTTATTCAGTCTGTCATAACTGAAACTGAAGAAACTATAACTACTTTCATAATTAATTGAGAATATTAAAATTAATGCTGCTAGAGCTTTTAAAATTAGAGCTTTTAAAATATTTTCCAGATATAGAAAAGTCAGCAATAGAAATAAGAAAAAAATTACTGCTTCCAAAATAAAAAAGCTCAAGATTTAATGACCAATAATACAGCTGAAGAAGTTGTGTGTAGAACTGAACACCCAAGATTGACATCATAAAACATAAGCAAGCACTTGATTTCTTTAGACAGAAAAGCTGCCATGTCAACTATCAACGTGCTTCTCTCATTAAGGATTAGTGAAACACCAGGGAAAACCGCTTCAGTGCAGCTTCAAATGGCGACAGAACTGACACACGTTCTATTATTTCATTCCAGGAAAGTTTTTTAAGTAATTTTGCAGCTAAGAGCCTCTTCAACTGCTTCCTCTCACATGAAGAGAGAAGTGAAGGTAAGCAAACCTGTGTGACTACATATGTATGTACACGTGTGCTCTGGCCTCCTGTTACACGGCATGTTCATAAGTACTCAACAAAGCAATTACCCTGGTTTTCTGTTTCTCAACAGGTCTATTTCAGCCTTCATTTGAAATCTGATTTTAAACTCCATTATATATACAGGACAGAATCTTAACGTATTTTAGGTAGCAAGTACTCTCAAGACATTGGTCTAAATCTCCTGAGCCTCCTGGTACTGAACACAAACAGCCCCTTTAATATATTTTTTCAGAAGGAAAAGAAGAAAATCTAGAAAGCACAGAAAATTAAAGGCTGTGCTTAAAGAAGTAAGCGTATCAAAGCTTACCACTAAAAACTGAATAAAATCATTTACTGGCGAATCACTTTCTCTAGACTGTCCTATGGCCGTGGCGAAGCTCCGAGGCGAGGGCAGAGGAGGAGGCAGCCGGCGCCCGCTCTGCCAGCCAACGCGGGGCTCAGCAACTTCTGGTTGCTTATAAACTCCCTTCATGCTACGCTCTTATGTCTTAGGTGCGTGGGCATTCCAGCTATCTTTTAAATAAACATAAAGCATGAGGATAAAGCATGAATCAAATATTCTAAGGAAAAAAGGATATTATTAAAGCACTGTAGAGAAGAGCACAAATATCTAAGGGCAGTAGGGAGTACAAAGCTCAGACACTAGGAAGGGTACGGACCTACCATAAAGTGGAACGAATTTAGCAGCCCAAGATGGCATTCTGACAGACAGACAGATACCAAGGCAAAATATGAAACCACTTTTGTAATGCTTTATAACAACCTCTAGATCACCACTGGATTATATAAGAATTGGAAAAAGTTCAGATGTAATGATAATTTTACCTTAGCCTATATATAACTCCAGCCACAGAATTACTAGAATCCAAAATAAATAAATAAGCTAAGGCCAAAACCCAAGAACCATGGGGAGAAAAACATAAAATTATAACATAAACACTAACTTGAATTAAACATATGAAGGCTATTAAATTTTTCTACTTGGACATTTGATTAACACTTAATAAGTGCCTACTATGTGTCTGGTATTGGTCTAAGCATATAAAAACTCACACAGATGAGACAAAGATGCTGCCCTCAGGTACTCAAAGTCTGGTAGGAAAAGCAAACAAGTAACCAACCAATTAAAATACATCATAATTGCACTCCTCTGGATCTCCTCTACCAGACATAAGCTCCTTGATGGCAGACATTTCTTTTTTTCAGCCCTTATAGCCTAAGCACCTAGTTACTGACATATTGACTCTAGAGCATAAAGAGAAGGCATCTACAGATTCATTCACTCAACAAATATTTACTGAGCACCTTCTATGTATCTATCAGCCACTGTTCCAAGCACTCGTTATAAATGAAAAAAAAATGAAGAAATGTCCTTGTCCTTTGAGTTTCAAAAAAGACCAAAGTTGTAAGCCATGTTTTTAAAAAAAGAAAAGGCACTTAAGTTCAAACGAAATTTTAAGGTGTTTTCAGGTCGATCCATTGACCTGATATATTGTACTCTAAGGTTTTTGCTCTAGACCTTGTAAGTGAATGGTTAGAAACTATTGGTTAATTTATCTTAGTGATTCCTAAGACAATTTAACAATGACTACTGCTTACTTCTAAGTTTAGACAACTTAAGTTGAATCCATTTCTGAAAAATAAAATTGAAAATAATGTAACATAACATTAAACCTTTAAATTGCTTAGACTTGTTTCCATATCTATTACTGAGTAAAGGTGCAACAACTAACAAAGATGTAGTCACAATCAACATAAGCAACAGAGACACAGACCAAAGACCTATGCCATGAGATTACGGAATTGATCAAGAGAAGAACATATGTCAGAATGTGAAAAAGCCTAAAGCTTTGGGCAAATTTAGGACTAGTTGACCAAAAACAAAAATTTAGTTGTTTGACATCTCTGACCACTTTCTCGAGTGAGATGCTTTACACACTACAAAATCAAGTATCTAATAAATAAAAACTGTCTCTACCAAAAAAGTACATGACTGTCAGTAAGTTTTAATTACTGGCAAGCAATGAATTAATAAACAAACTATTAGTTAGACAAAATAAACTTGGAAGAAATTATTTTCCAATAAAATATCCTGATATTGATTATGAGGAGGTGTGTTAGCTACACTATCTATATCTTCTTTATTCTCTGACCCAAATGTCTATCAAAGGTCTAATTCCCAGCTAAAGTCTTTATTCCACATAGACTGCAGCTGAACAAGGACTGGCCAACCTATAAGTGACAGTTTATCGAAAGGAGCATATCCACGTTTCCAGCCCAACTTGGAAAATGGTTTGTGAATCCACATGCGTAGCAGTGGGAGTCAGGAAAAGAAACATACGAGGAAAAAGGTTCCAAAGAAAGCCGAGGTAAGAGGAGTCAGAGTAGGAGCTGAGCATATGTAATCCTCTAACTGCTGACGTGCGGTCAGGGAACTCAGAGCTTTTGTCTGTATCTCTTACAGCTTCTTACCCTAAGTTGGTTATTTATGCTCGTGTGTTATCTACGAGATGCATATAAACTACTTGAGAGAATATAAATGACACTACTCTCTCTATCATCCCCAAAAGAGTTATTTGGAGAAAAAAATGCTTTAAAAAATTGTAAAAGAGATAATTATGCCATCTTTTCATTTTGACATTCAAATAGAAAGTGGGTTTCATGATGCCACCCTAGAGTTTTACTCTGTAACTCGGGACAGATCGCTGACCTTCATCTACTTTAAAGACAAGCACCTGTGCTGTTCTAAATGGAAATTCCTAAATCCACTGCTTTAAGTAAATGCTTTAGAAAAAGACTCGATTTTCAGTGTCTTCTTCACCGCTTCAAAACTCGATGCTTTCTAAAGGAGCAACAATAAAGCATTCCCACTTGAAAGTCCTCACACCTGAGCAGGTGAACAAATTCAATACCGTAATGGTGGTCAAGTATATAGCGCATCATGACAGTGTCACAGATCGTACTGCATGGCTGTATCTGCTATAATTAC